ATATCTAATAGGACTGGTAGAGCACCTGTACGTGAATGGTGTCGGGCCTCAACCCCGGCTTCATTTCATTCATAAGTGGGTTATCTCTGAAATATGTCTCCCATTCGTGTCTCGTGGACCCTAAAAGTAAAGACAATGATGAGATTGATGGCCACCATGTGGTTCATGTCATGTCATACCGATCTTGACTCTCGCAGTCTTAACGGTCAGCTGTTCTATAAAACCCGATAACTTAAGACTCATTTTGTTGAGTCGCGACTCAATGAGTGACTGATTGCTGAGTGACTCGCACTCGGCCTCAAAGCGGATGAACTCAATGGTAGATTTGCTCACTTTTATGGTCTTGAACTTCAGTGGTTTGATCTTCTTCTTCAGTTTGTCCATCACTTCCCACGTACTGATTGTCATTGTCTTTCCGCTGTTGTCCAGCACTTTGAGCCGAGGAAGCGCTACAGTGATGTTGAGCTTCGCCTGCGGTTTGAGCCATAGGTCCAGCGATGGACACAACTCTTTGAGATCCTTGTCGTCGCAAATGTGCGGATCAGACATCAGGACAAAGGATCGCACAATCAGTGCATCGGATGTCAACTGAATCACTAAATTTGGTTCAGATTTACATACTTTCCGTTCAATGTTTGCCTCAATTGTCGCACTCTTCCCATCAATTATGTCCCGATTCACAAAACTTTCACAAAAAGTGTTTTCATTTTAAATTTTCACCAAGGTTAATATTGTTTCTTATACTTCTAATAATAGATGAGAAGTATTGCTTATATCATTTATAATCAAATTTAAAAATTTTAATTTTTAATTACAATTAATTAATTACAAGCATTTAATTGCAATGACATTAAGTGGACGTAAATTATGATGACTTTCGTCTACTTTTGTGTGAAGGGATCACATGTTTGTGTGCTTTCATTGCTTTCATTACTGTTTGTTTGGTTCAGTGTTTGTGTCCATTAATTGCACACAATTTAACACTTGGTTTGCATTTCACTCAACACTTGACTCTATAATCGCAATGAATTCAATGATATTCAGCAAAATGCGGTCAAAAGTGTTGCAGTGATTGTCGGCAAACATGTTGTCATATCTGTTGCGAGGATTCAGTCGACAGACTTTGAAATCAATCCAAAGCAACAATTATGTGAAGAGGTTTTACACGAACCAAGAGTTCGCTCAACAAAACACTGATCCATGCGATGACAACCACACCAGTCATGGCAGTGGATGCGATACACAGCACCGGTACCACTGGTTCCAGGAGTTGAATGAATTCACCAAACTATACGACGATTACTACAAGAAATGGTACGACAACTTCACCAACAACTCCACGGCTAACAGTGGCCAACAAACCCATAGTCATGATGACCACAAATACCACAAAACTCATGAGGAGTGCCACTCTAACCACTACTCGTTCAGTGAATGTAAATACCATTTGATGACCAAAAGATGGTTGGAGACAATCGGATGTATTGTAAGCATTTTATTCACCATTTCTTATACGGAATATTCTGTTATTAATATAATTG